CTCTCTCTCTCTCTCTCTCTCTCTCTCTCTCTCTCTCTCTCTCTCTCTCTCTCTCTCTCTCTCTCTCTCTCTCTCTCTCTCTCTCTTTTTTGGACACCTCAATCACAGACACATAGATGGAGTAGGAAAGTACACGTGCACACCGTGCATATAAAACATGGAAATTTCAGATTCGAGAACCCTTTTTTTTTTTCTTTTTTTTTTCAGATATGAGAACCCTGTTCTCCTTTTTTTCATCTTTATGTTCTTTGAAATAAAAAGAAGGGGAAGCCTTCTGGACATGGTTGCTTTCCATCGGGAGCATCGGCTGTACCTCCTTCCACAGGCAAGTGATGACGGATACATCAGACACTCATGTTTCTCATGACACGGCTTTGAAATTTCCGGTATTGCCCTCCTCTGCTCTTCCCCCCTCCCACTCTCACACCACAAAAAGGGTTCCCCCCTTGCCTTTCATCTGCTGAAATACACAATCAATGAGCCATTGGTGCCTGTACAGGAGGTCGCGAGGGTACGACCCCTCCGGAGGGGTCCTTTACAGCACCGAACCTTCTCACTGATCATAACCGTTGCTGTAATCTTAATAAGCTTTTACTGACTTCGCTGTTTTGGCAATTTTTCTTGATGACTCGAGACCCCCAAATAACCATAATTTGGGGTTCACATGGCCCCAAAGTACAAAGGAAAAGGGCCGCCATCGCAACCCCCCCCCCGTGCCAAAGCCACCACCAACAAGTCTCGTGGTCAAATGCAATTCAACCCTGGAGCCAGGTCCTAACTGAAACCCCCAAGCCTGGGATGACGTCAACAAACTGTGCAGGACAGGCATCCCTGAACCCAAGCCCAAGCCTGGGCTGACGTCAGAGGCCAGACCTCATGCCTGTGCAAGGCCCACTTGCACCTCCCCCTATGTTGCTGCAACCCTCAGCCTGAGACACGTCCAGAGCTGCACTGAAGCTGCAACAACTCCAACCTGCCCTGCTTCTGTCCCAGCCCCTAACCAGGCTCCGGACCCGAGCCTCTGGCTGCGCCCACCCCCAAACCTGTGCAGCAGCTCTTCAAACCGTCAAGGAGGCGCACACCAACCCCGAACCTGCACTGAAGCCTACCCCAAACCTGCACTGAAGCCACCCCAAACCCACGCTGCATCCCGCCCCAAACCTGCGCTCCCGCGGTTCCAACCCTAAAAGAAGGTCAGACCCACTTCCAACCCCAAAGCAACGCCAGACCCAAGCCTGTACCAGAAATCCATGTCTAAACCTGTGCCACAGCTTTCCCAGCTCTAATGGGCAGAGCCCTGACTAGTGCTGAAGCCACACAGCCACCTCTGCACCCATTGTCAGCTCATGCTGCCGCCATCCTGACCTTACAGCCCGCTCAGACCGTAAGCCTGCGCGGAAAACCACCCCCAACCTGAGCGCAAGCCACCTAGAACCGGTGCTGAATCCACCACCCCGAAGCTGTGCCGAAGCCACCCTGAGCCCGTGAAAGTTGCCCTCCACCTCTGCACTAACTGCCCTTACCCCTAAACTCTAAACCACCAAGTCTTAGAAAGCTCACTATTCAGAGCCTATCAGCTTCAGACCCCAACAAAAGCACAGAGACTTCAAATGCCTCTGCCTATTCTCTCCTCCTCAGTCTGGTGCTCCTCAAGAGTCTGCATCGTTCCAAGGGGTGGGCTCACAGGATTGCAGTCAGAGGCCAAAGTTATTTGTATGAAGACACTTACAATTGTACACTAGGACAGCCAGCAAAAGATGTGTGTATCAAGGACAAGTATCAAGGACAAGGAACTTGAAGCAAAGTTGCTGGGGAGAGACTTCGCAAACCGCCGCCTCTCGGAAGCTCGCAGCGAGCGTGTCAGAGCAAGTGGCTGCAAGAACTCTGAGCTTCTCGAAGTCATCTGTAAGTACTTGGACGAATTGTAGCGAATGACAGCCAGAAGAAAAAGAAAAAAAAATAGATAAAGATTTGCATATCAAGGTTTCAAGCGGCATTACTGGAGAGAGGCTTGGCGAGCCGCCGCCTCGCGCAAACTTGCGGCGCGTGCCAGAGCAAGTGGCTGCAGGAACTCTGCGTGTGTCTCCGCCTCCGGTGGAGCCTGAATGTTACACCTCAGTAACCGCTCATTCCCGTAGTCGACGTATTTTGCCCAAAGGACTCTGTACTTGGATATCGCAGTGTCTAGCCATGGCTTCATATTACCATTCCAGTGGACCACAGCGGCACTTTCGATGGCGGTATCGTCCAGATTCGGATCGTATCCCAGCCCAAGAACATGCCATGTGTTATTGAGCGGAAAGGTTGTCTTGTAGAATGTAATCAAGCCAGGGGGCAGTGTTCCAAGCTTCCACAATGTGCGGTCTTTGTTCTGCAAGAGAAGACGAGATGGACAGAAAAGGCAACACCAAGCAACAAACAATGGCAAAAGTGAGCAACCTACAAACAATATAAACAACTACCGGGTAGCAAATGGCAAAAACAATACAACCTACAACCGACAATAAATGCCCAACACCAACAGCCAAGAACAATAATGTTGATGCCCCAACACAATAACCATGATACTGACAACTATGGAAGGAGAAGAAGAAGAAGAAGAAGAAGAAGAAGAAGAAGAAGAAGAAGAAGAAGAAGAAGAAGAAGAAGAAAGAACAGGAAGAGGGCACGGAGAAGAAGAATACGAAGGAGGAGAGAGGACGAAGGAGGAGGAGGAGGAG